TTAAAATATCGCAGGCAGTCTTAAAATATCAAATGCAAAATTTACTAAAATTTCGAAAATTTATTGGATGATTCAACTTTGTGCATTTAAATGCACCCACATTTATATATATAAACTTATAAAAAAATGCGTTGATATCGTAACCACATTAAGAAGTGCCCGACGTAGCATGTCGTCACAATCTGAGAACAACTTGACGTGTTTCTTTAATTCAAGGCAACAAAACAAACACGTGTAGGCACAATGACAATTTCGCCATAAAATTTAAACACTAATATAAAAAACCAAAAACATCTCATTCATAAAATCCCGCACGAAAAATCCAGCTTGTGGATATCAGTGTTTAAAACATCTTAGAACAAGTTCCTTCCCATGGTGCAGGCTCGCTCATTGAATAATTTGGGGGAGGGCAACCGCCTTACGGTTCGACATATGTGATTATGACGTACTTGTTTGTTTTATACATTATTTCATGATTCATTTTAATCGTATATAGTATCTGAAAACTTGTTAGCTGAAGTAGAGAAAATACTTGTTTCATTTCTTAGCAATTACCCCGTATTCAAATGGCTGCAAACGATTTTCATCACATCAGTAAATTATTTACCGATATTGATTGATGTATCTCTTAATAGTTGCTTGTGTGGTGTTTTCTCGCTTGATATTGAATTTCTTCTTTTTGCGCCCACATGCACGTGCTTGTCTTCTAAAGCTGAGTTTAAATAAAAACAAGTAAAATTTTGTATAAAAGGTCTGGTTTAATTTATTATACCCTACACCATGATTAAATGCTTGTAATTTGAAATAAGTCGAGACATTTAATTGTTTTTTTTAATCCACGCCTATAGCTCTGATAGTCTATGAAAAATGACATTTAAAAAATCCACGCCTATAGCTCTGATAGTCTATGAAAAATGACATTTAAAAAAAATAGCTCAGTCTATGAAAAATGAAATTTAAAAAATCCACGCCTATAGCTCTGATAGTCTATGAAAAATGACATTTAAAAAATCCACGCCTATAGCTCTGATAGTCTATGAAAAATGACATTTAAAAAATCCACGCCTATATCTCTGATAGTCTATGAAAAAGGTCATTTAAAAAATCCACGCCTATAGCTCTGATAGTCTATGAAAAATTACATTTAAAAAATCCACGCCTATAGCTCTGATTGTCTATGAAAAATGACATTTAAAAAATCCACGCCTGTAGCTCTGATAGTCTATGAAAAATGGCATTCAAAAAATCCACGCCTATATCTCTGATAGTCTATGAAAAATTACATTTAAAAAATCCACGCCTATAGCTCTGATAGTCTATGAAAAATGACATTTAAAAAATCCACGCCTATAGCTCTGATAGTCTATGAAAAATGACATTTAAAAAATCCACGCCTATAGCTCTGATAGTCTATGAAAAATGACATTTAAAAAATCCACGCCTATAGCTCTGATAGTCTATGAAAAATGACATTTAAAAAATCCACGCCTATAGCTCTGATAGTCTATGAAAAATGACATTTAAAAAATCCACGCCTATAGCTCTGATAGTCTATGAAAAATGACATTTAAAAAATCCACGCCTATAGCTCTGATAGTCTATGAAAAATGACATTTAAAAAATCCACGCCTATAGCTCTGATAGTCTATGAAAAATGACATTTAAAAAATCCACGCCTATAGCTCTGATAGTCTATGAAAAATGACATTTAAAAAATCCACGCCTATAGCTCTGATAGTCTATGAAAAATGACATTTAAAAAATCCACGCCTATAGCTCTGATAGTCTATGAAAAATGACATTTAAAAAATCCACGCCTATAGCTCTGATAGTCTATGAAAAATGACATTTAAAAAATCCACGCCTATAGCTCTGATAGTCTATGAAAAATGACATTTAAAAAATCCACGCCTATAGCTCTGATAGTCTATGAAAAATGACATTTAAAAAATCCACGCCTATAGCTCTGATAGTCTATGAAAAATGACATTTAAAAAATCCACGCCTATAGCTCTGATAGTCTATGAAAAATGACATTTAAAAAATCCACGCCTATAGCTCTGATAGTCTATGAAAAATGACATTTAAAAAATCCACGCCTATAGCTCTGATAGTCTATGAAAAATGACATTTAAAAAATCCACGCCTATAGCTCTGATAGTCTATGAAAAATGACATTTAAAAAATCCACGCCTATAGCTCTGATTGTCTATGAAAAATGACATTTAAAAAATCCACGCCTGTAGCTCTGATAGTCTATGAAAAATGTCATTACTATAGTCATTATTCGGAAAGCAAGAGAAACAACTTAGTAACCTGTTTTACAAATCGCGGTGCTACACATTAAATAATAATAACACTTACTACAACGACTGGTATCCATTCATCTATGCACTGGAGAACAAGTAAAGAAATAAAAAAAGCAAAATGATGAAAAGTTCTCAACTAAAGTGAAAACAAGACGCAAAACAAAACGCAAAGAAAAAACAAAAACAATTTTATAGAATGCGGGTTCAATCTTCAGTTGAGCTCAACTGAACTGGGTAGTTGAGCGCGAGAGCCTGCTTTGGCCTCATAAAGCCGCGAAATTATTTCTCATATCAGTATGCGGCAATCAGCGGTGGAAAGTAAAACGTATATCTGCTGCTAAAGAATTTGTTGTTCAGTGCGAGCACATAGAATATATAAATATGCATAAAAGGGGATTTTATTGGACGACTTTGTTGTCGTTTTTTTGCTTTGGAATCTGTTACCCGAATGTGGTCATCAATGGAGGTGGGTATTCCCCTTTTGGTTGGCAGTGATTTGTGTTAAAATAACAAGAAAAATTCCCCCACATTTACGCCCAGTTTCAAATATTTGCCAAAATCCCGATGGTCGCTTGGGTAGATGTACATCACTGACTAAATGTCATAATTACAATGGATGTGATCGTAATGCCAGTACTAAGGAATGTTCGAATGGATTTGGCGAACCGCCATATGTTTGCTGTATTTTCGGCAAAACAATTGTATTTCCAGATGATGATGATAATGGTGTACCTTTTATGTCTGCAGCCGCAGAATCATCATCCTCCTCCTCATCCAATAATAAATCGCCATCAACTGTGGGAGTCCGTTCCACAGCAACATCATCAACCAGCAGAGGAATATTATTTCCTGATGAACATGGTAATTTTAATATTCCAGTTGTCGGCGATAGATGGGCTGATAAGCGAGAGGAACCAAAAAATAAAATGAAATTATTTCCCACACCGCCGGTATGTGGTCCAATGCTAGTTGGTGATAAAATTCATGGTGGTGTCGAAGCCCAACTGGGCGAATTTCCATGGTTGGTCAATTTGGAATATGAAAATGGTATGTATGTCATAGTGTGAAATAAACACATTTAAGTGGAGGAAAATATGTCAGATTATCGGTGTTGAGTCCAGTAGAGAAATTATAATTAGTTTTCTTCGGATTTTCCAAATGCAGAAAAAAATTGATAATGGTCATTTATAGCGGACAACACAGAAAAATAGAAAATAGAAAAAATACTAAAAGTGTATCAGTTCTTCTGTGTGTCTGAAAGAACTGGTCGGTCCAAAACATAATCATGCTTGTTTTGATAAAGATCGGCCATTATTTAGCAGGTCAAATGGACCCTGATTTTTGTGCGAAAAATGACAAAACTCGTATACTATAGCGAATAGCTTTACCCCTGAAGGACATAGACCCGAGAAGTTGATAGTATATCCAAGAGGAGCGGTAGACCTTTAAATTGATACCAATGTATGTACTCGGATGTGGGAGTTAAACTTAAATATTTACAGGTGCTTACGTATTCAGATATTATTTAGTAACTCATTAGCATTAGAGGGTGGAAATATGGCGATGATCGCTTTAAAATTTTCCAAGAGGTTACAGTTAGAATCAAAGACAACACCTTTAATTTTCGGTGATGATCACATTAAAAATTTGGAATAATTGTTTGCGTTCTTTTGAGTCGATATATAGGCCACAAGCCAAATATTACAGTACAACCCACGGTGAATGAAATCTGTACAAGTAATTATAAGGGCTGTACAGAATATTGGGAATATTAGGAAAATATGTCAGTGTATGGAAGATGTGCTGTTTATCTCTAATCGGTCAAGAGGGTGCAAATAGCACGAAATTTGGCACAGGCTCGAGGTATCTGTGTAGAGTATCGTATGGTCGGCCTCGTCCGACTATCCTCTTCCGCTCACTGGTTTAGTATTATCATTACCACCCTAGAGGGCGTAAATTTCGATCAGATCGCCATTAAGTTTTATAAGAGTTAGGTTATGATCAATTAGAATGTATGTTTGAAATATTGATCGGTCGAAGTTTAGCAGATCATATGAGACTAGACTTTTATGTGTAGAATAAAAACATTAAAGCTTAAATGCTCAGGAAATGTGTGTTAGAAGAGAGAAGAAAAATTCCAGATTTATATATAGCTCCCATATATATCGATTTATTGTAAATGGGGTCTCTATATATATATCCACGAAATTCAGATATAGAATTAAAATAAAACTACAACTCCGGGTTATATTTAGATATAGCTCCCATATATATTATCGTCCGATATTATGTAAATGGTATATCAAAGCCCCTATATATCTTTCGATTTGCATGAAATTTGGCATGGCGTTCTAAATTAAGTCTAGAATGATGTGTGTTAAGTTTCGTAAAAATAGGTTCAGATTTAAATATAGCTCACATATATATTTTCGTCCGATTTAAGGTTAATGGTACACCAATGTCCCTATAAATTTTTCCATTTGGACAAAATTTGGCATCGAGTACGGAATTAAGTCTAGGATTATGTATGCTTAGTTTCGTGAAAGTCGGTTCAGATTTAGATATAGCCCTCATATATTATTTCTTCTGATTTTATGTATATGGTGCGCTGTTTTCAACAAGACCACATCTATCAACAGAAGCATTCAAATACTTTGTTTTGTATCATATCACAAATTGTTACCATTACAGAGGATGGTGATATACAAATCGGTTGTGCAGGAAATATACTAAAAAATCGATATGTGCTCACAGCAGCACATTGTGTAAAGGGTCCCATCGAAGAACTATTGGGAAATTTGTAAGTACAACAAAATTCATGTGTGGCTTCATACCTTACCATTAATATGTACATAAATATTTGTTTTCTTCTCTTAGGGTTTCGATGCGTGTTGGTGATCATAATACAGACACCGATAATGATTGTGATGACTTGGGATGTATTGATCGATTTATTCGATACTATATAATTGAGAAAATCGTGCACAAGGATTTTCGTCAATTTAAACGTGGAAGGCTGATAAATGATATAGCATTGCTGAAGACAGATAATGAGATGATCTATTCATTTTCGGTAGCTCCAATTTGTCTGCCAAATATACAACAGGCTTTACATCCGCCAGTTAATGGATCCACATTAACTGTTGCTGGTTGGGGTGATAATGGAATTGGTGAGTACAATTAAATGTTGTAATCAAATGATATTTATTTTATTAAAACTTTTTTAATTTATTTTTTTACAGAGGACTTTTCTGTGGAAAAACGTATTGTAGATGTCCCATATATAGATAACAGCGTTTGTCCACTGCGTCTGCTACCGACACAAATCTGTGCTGGTGGTGTTAAGGGCAAGGATAGCTGTGTTGGTGATTCGGGTGGTTCGCTGGCACGTAGATCTACTGGCGGCTGGATTATCGAAGGCATGGTATCGTATGGACGTAATTGTGGTAGTGATACACCAGCGGTTTATACCAGAGTTCGAAGTTTTCTACCATGGATTATGGATCATGTGAATGATTCGTAGGAGCCTTTCATTATATTTATAATATTAATATATAGGTCTAAGAATATTTGATAGTTGTAAAGTGGTAATTGTAATTTAATAATAACTTTAGTATTAAGCCGGATGTAGTTTCCATGAGATTATTTAACAAAAAATTTGTCTCAATTAAAAGAGAGAATATTAAAACATATAAAAAATTGTATTTGGCGATCTTCATTGAAGAAAAAATTCAGATTTCTTTATAAACTGTTATATTAGAAGTTGTTAATATTGGTGCGTACATTTTCTACCCTATCAGAGCCCATATTAAAACTATGACGTTAATTGGGCACCACCCGAAAAAGTGGACCAATATTTAAAATTATACCCTTCACAACGTTGTAAACAAAGTACAGGTCCCATTTATTTATTATTTGGCCCAAGGACGAACCCTATTGAAAAAAGTCGGTGCAAATTTAGATATAGCTTCCATATATATTTTCGTCTGAATTAAGTCTAGAATGATGGGTTTCGTGAAAATCTGGTCAGATTTAGATATAGCTCCCATATATTTTTTCGTCCGATTTAATGTAAATGGTGCACCAAAGTCCCTATAAATCTTAAGATTTGCACGAAATTTGGCATAGCGTACTGAATTGACTTTAGAATAATGTGTGTTAAGTTTCGTGACAATCGGTTCAGTATTATATAACTCCTATATATATTTTCTTCGGATTTTATGTAAATCGTGCACTAAAGACCTAAAGTTTGTTCGATTGACACACAATTTTGTACAATGTAAATTAATATAAATTAAACTCTTGTAAGTGTCGTTGAAATCGTTCCAGATTTAGATGTAGCTCCCACATATATATTTCGTCCGATTTTAAGTAAATGGTGCACCAAACTCCTAATGTTCATCCGTTTGACACGTTTGTGCGTTTTGCTACACATATGTATACACAATCCGATCCATTACTTAATATATCTCGTAAATAGACCGAACACCATAAAAAGAAAACCAGTAAGGAAAGAAGTAAAGTCGGACTGGGCTCACTATATGATACTCTACACCACTTTGGTATATTCTACATATGTATCCTAACAGACGTCGCCTTTTCGAAGGAACATTGACATGAAAATGAATGAACTTAAATATGTGATATTTATCTATATGTGAACCGACTAACATTAATCCGTACATATTATATTCTTAAACCTATGCCAAATGGGTACAATGGGACACACTCATTTAATTAAAGCAAACTTAATACACGCTATTCGGTATACCGCACTGTTCAAAATTTAATCTCAATCAGACACCCGTTCGAAATATATATGGAAACTATGTCTGCATCTGCGCCGATTTTTACAAAACGCAATAACGTCAATCTAGTCTCAATTTGATACGTTGTGCAAAATTTCCTGTCAATCGAACATACATTAGGGGTTTGGTGCACCATTTACCTAAAATCGGACGAAAATATATATGGGAATTATATCTAAATCTGAACCGAATTCAATAAAACTTGTCTGAGATTAAATTATAAAAATTTCAGTATATTGTACAAAATTGTGTGCCAATCGGACAAACTTTGGGTCCTTAGTGCACAATTTACATAAAATCGGAAGTAAATATATATGGTAGTTATACCTAAATCTGAACCAATATTCACGAACCTTAGCGCAAATCATTCTAGACTCAATTCAGTACGCTATGCCAAATTTCGTGCAAATATAGAGATATATAGGAATTTTAGTGCACCATTTACCTAAAATTGGACGAAGATATATATGTTGGCCCTATATCTTAATAGCAACAGATTTTCATGAAAAATATCACACATCATTCTTGACTTAATTTAATACGATATGCCAAACTTCGTGCAAATCGAAAGAAGTATAAGGGCTTTGGTGCACAACGAAAATATATATGGGAGCTATATCTAAATCTGAACCGATTTCCTTCAAACTTAACACACATTATTCTAGACCTAATTTAGTACGCTATGCCAAATTTCGTGCAAATTGAAAAAATATAGGGACTTTGGTACACCATTTACATAAAATCGGACGAATATATGGGAAATTACAAAATTCTTTTAAAATTCCTTTAAAAAAAATTTTGAAAAAAATTTTTGCGAGCACATTTATGATTTTTGGTACATGGGTTAAGAAAAATATGCTGATTCGAAATCTGTTCGCGTTCACAAATTCGGATGCTGCGCACAAAAGTTATAGCGGTTTTAAATCTTGTATTTCAAATATAAATTAAATGGATTCCTATTCGTTGTAATTCGCGAATTTCTTCACAAATGCTTAAAGACCATTGTTTTCTTTGCATACTAGTCAAATCACACTGAAATACGGTTTAATAGTCGCGAAAAACAAATAGAAACATGAAGATATCGGAAAATAATAATAAATTAATTTTTGAATTAAAACAATTTTTTTTTGAATTTTCGATGTTTTTATTATGGGTAAGAGAATACGGTTTTGCCTTAATCTTCTAAAATATACGACGCTTTCTTCTGCAAATTTTTTTAGATGATTGTTAAATATCGGTAGATTCATCTGATAACAGTTTCGACCTCATTAATGGCTAAATATATTGCACTTACAATACATAAAAATGATCAATATTGAAAAGCTTGCAATTCGCGAATTAGATGAAATCAGTTGATGCGCATGCGATTTTCGTATAAACCGAATCAATGTCTTTCAATAATTATGAATTTTTCGATGTTTAATATAGGGGTCAAAGTGTGCCACTCGATGCACTTTACTATGAAAAAACCCAAAAAATGGCTAAAAATCACGCAACGTGCATACGATTTTTATGCGCATCCGATTTCTCCTATGAAAATACACAAAAGGACACCTATTTTAAAAGGATCGGTTAAGAACGCGCGGATTTGCCTCCACAATCAATTTTGGATAAAATACGCATATTATTCGCGTATCGATGTATTTTTGACCTATTTCCACACAGATTCGCGAATTTGACAATACAAGCATAAATGCATGTAAAATTAATTCGAAGAAAACCGCGATTATTTACGCGAATTTGTCAAAATAAGTTTTTGCAGTTTTTCCCGCATTCAAGGTACCTATATCCGCCGTTTTATTGGACGGAATTGAACATGGATAGGCTCATTAAATCACGCGGGGTTCCACGGAATTTGAATGGACTTTCTTAATTGTAGACTCAAAAAATTTGTTTCTTATAAAAATTTACGCACCAAATTTTCGTCTTTGGAACCCAATTGCAAAGAAGCTACATTCATGAGATATACACTAAATGAAGCAGAATCACGAGTTCTACAATCCTATAATTAGTTTAGTCTATTATCTGGATGCGCGTCCTAATTATAAGAAAAATTCAAAAAACACCAAAAATCCGGCTTCAAAATGTCAGCATCCATTTTGGGTGCATCCATTGATTATATCGAAAAATCATACATTAGAACCATATTGTCCATGGGGTATTCTGCAACTTAGTCACTGATCACATGTGCTTGCGTTGTGTAGTTTAGCCACAAATCAGGAAGGAACACAAAAAAACTCGTTGGCTTCAACACATTTTCACCCATTTTTTTACATTACCACCATCACAGCTTCCACGCAACTTATTATTTATTACCAATATTTTAAGATTTTGACAAGAACACTTCATTTTATAGAAATGAATTTAAATTATATGCAATATGCTCATATTTCGCAAGTTATAACCTTGAAAACCTCAGCTTCAAGGAATTTAAAAGATTTTTGTAATTTCCCATATATATGTGAGCGACATCTAAATATGAGTCGATTTTTTTTTCAATTTCAATAGGGTTCGTCCTTGGGCCAAATAGAATTCATATCATAAATGCGACCTGTACTTTGTTTACAATTTAACATCTACAGACGAACGGACATGCATAAATCGACTAAGAAAGTGATTCTATGCATATTCTCAAAAGGAACCATGTGTCTATCTCGTTTCCTTTTGCCTGTTACAAGCATATGCACAAAGACATATTGCCCTGTGTGGTGAAGAGTATATAAAAAAGGGATAAACCATCCGGATTATAGAATACCCAATGAATTGTGAAATGCAGTCCGGATTACCGGATAATCCAGAAAATTTGGCCAGGTTTGGGATTTAGCTCCGCTGGAAGTTTCAGTACAGCGATATAAGTTCTAGTTGGATGGCTATTCTTCCCAGTAAAATTATAAATATGGGTCGATTTTTGGGTATAGCCTCCATATAAAGATCCTGTCCCATTTTCTTAGGAGCATTTCCCAATCGATGTGATTATATTTGAATAGTGCGGTTAAATTTGGTAACGATAAAAAATTGGTATCTGTATGTTTTCGTAGCATTTTATCAATTTCCTACACTCCTTGCACAGAAAACGTGTTCCAACAAAATTTGAAAGTGAGATAACGAAAAACTTTCAGATTCATCTGGATTTTTTACCATAAAAATACGTTATTATTCCAAACACGTTAATAACATAAGTTCTGTACCTTAATTTCGGATAATAAAATTAATTTTTGTACATTTCTAAAACTTAAAACTAAAGTACATCGGGATTTTGTAGCTATAACATTCAAATGGACCAAATTGGAGGTGTATGCTATATCGAAAATTAAACCGTTAACAAAGGTCGAATTCCGATATAGGTTTACCAATTTGCATTGGTTCAAAATAGAAGCTTTTACGTGAGCGACTTCCATCGTTTAGATATTTTAGCGGTTGTTATTAAATGTTAATGCACTTTAAAGTAGATGCAAACAAAAAAATCCCACGAAAAAATGCTCAAAAAAATTGGCAAGTGCATTAAAGCATTTCTTTTATTTTTCGTCTAACACAAATTAGTAATATAAACATGTACCAAAAACAATTAAAATAAACATTTTTTTCATACATATGTTATATTACGATGACAGCGATTTGTCATGCGAATAAGATGCTCATAGCAATTAATCAGAATTAAGAAAACAACAACAACTTGCTGACCTGTTCAAGAAACCCAGTCGAAAATATCTTTATTAGCACATTTGATTCTCATCATATATCTAACACCCCGCACCAAAACAATTCCATTTCATAGATTCTCAATAAGAAATAGAAGAAATTTAATATTGTGATGCAAAAAAAAAAAAACAATAGTAGTATGTTTCAAAATTATTTTTTTCAAAACTTGTAACGAGAAGACCTGCCGTTGATTAATTTGTATGAGAAATGTTATAGGTTTTACGATAAATTCACACGACAACTTTGAAATATTCTCAGTTTAAATCTAACTGCCATACCGGTAACTTAGACAGTGAAGATAGTCTGTGTTAAAAAAAAAAAAACGAAAAAAAAACTAAAATTTCAAAATAAAAAAATATATATTTTGTTTTGATAAAATAAACATAAAAGAATAAATACAACAACAAATAACTACAACAACATGCAAACTCGTCAATTAATTTTAATAACGTGTCTACTACTAGTCTCCGGTCTATACAAATATACTACTACTGAAGCTTTTTCGTATGATGGTTTGTTTTCTTCCAGTTTTTTGCTTCTTTTTATTAACTAAACAAATTGTGAGCACAGTGTATAAAATAAAAAATAAATAGTATATAAAAAATAATAATGGGGATTCACCAAAACGTGGGTTTTGTGCAAATAGTGTTGAGTGACAAAAAAATTAAATAAAATAAAATCGGCACGCAATTTATGAATCCTCTTCATCCACATACGAAATATGTTCATAATAAGCATATAGGATTAATATAATTAAACTCGTAATATAATAAATAATAATTCGACACATATATATCAGAGGGACGGAAACAGCTGTACCCATTTAAAAAAAAATATATATTTTATAGTGTTAGAAGAATATGATCTCATCACGCCATTCTATTGAAATACCTACTCCGACCCTAAAATAAAATTATTTTTCTGTCTTCGGCATTAATAACAGAGGTCATGATAAACGTGTTCTATTGGTTAAAAAAGTCGATGTTTCTTTCCAAAAAAATCCAACGGAGTTCTGCTGTGAACTTAACAAATGGCGGGTCTTCGAAAATAGTCCCTTTTGGAATTGTCACTTGAAATGTTAAAGGGAAAGTTTTGAAGTGTTTTTCTCCGAACCCAATAATGCTGATTTCAGACAAAAACATAAAAAAACTTAAAAAGACCATACATACGGGGTAATTACGCTACATCAAGTTTATCCTTAGCGGAAAATCACTACGACACAAAATCGAGGTGAAACATTGCTTATGGAATAAAAGCCCTAGGCGTGTATTTTAAGAACTCAGAAGGACAAATTCGCCTTAGTTCAAGTTTCTGAGTTATGATAAATTTTTTGCCTGTAACTCCAAAGTTTATGAAGAAAACGATTTATAACTTTATTTGTGGCTATTGCAGGTTATTTTTGAGAGCATGTCTTCAGTCAAATCGAATGAGGAATATTTTTGTAAAATATATCCTTTTCTTATTTCAAGTACCTTTTCATATTTTCCATCTATATTTTATTTCGGTCTCTAAATATTATTTCGGTCTCTAAACATTTTGCAAAAAATAACAATCGTCGTAAATTTTGAATCTTCCTTTTCCACTACTATTCGAACACTAATAAATTATGAATAAATATCTTTGAAATATTTACCATAAATTATGTTAAATACGTTAATATAATTTATTCGCCTGAGGCAGAACCGAATGGACTATTATGTAACCTGTTTTTCGAATAATAATCTCGATATTCATACCGGTTTGAACTAAAACTTATATGCATACCATTTGAATGGTAACAACATTGTATTACAAATTATGTTATACTCTCCACCATGTGGATGACAATCAAAATATTTAAAATTATGGTGGTTCCCAGGAGAAAACTCATATTATGAACAATACGTGAGAAAAATATGATTGAAATTCTCAGAATATTCTCAAATAAGGAGCTACCGTTATATAGGGCTATAATAAAAACCAGTAAGGAAAGTTGTAAAGTCGGACGGGGCCGACTATATGATACCCTTCACCACTTTAGGTATATTCAACAGATGAATCCTAACAGACGTCGCATTTTTAAAGAACCAGTAAAATGAAATTGGATCCATAAACATGTCATTCTGCAAACGATACTAAATTTTTCATTTGGTCAGATATAGAAGCTATATCTAAATCTGAACCGATTTTTACGAAACTAAACACACATCATTCTAGACCTAATTCATTACGTTTTGCTAAATTTCGTGCAAACCGAAAGATATTAAGGGACTTTGGTACACTATTTACATTAAATCGGACGAAAATATATATGGGAACTATATCTAAATCTGAACCGATTTTCACAAAACTTAACACACATCATTCTAGACCTTATTCATTACGCCGTGCTAAATTTCATGCAAATCGAAAGATATATAGGGATTTTGGTGCACCATTTACATTAAATAGGACAAAAATATATATGGGATCTAT